TTATCTTATATTAAGTGAGAAGATATATAAACAAGAAGAATAATTTTATATGCCGCCAAAACCACTATGCTTTTCATTTGTGGCATTCTCCATTTATTATGTCCACAAAGATTTGCTACTTTCTTGGTTTACTGAACCACTAAATATTTCCCAACAAATTAAACTCTCGTGCCACATTAGCCAATAAGCAAGATTCTCAGAAGCAGCTTGTGTGGCGCTACCTATTTCCCTCTTGCCATGGGGTCTGAAGGGCTCTGTAAGATCTCCTCTGCATATTTAAGCTGTGTTAATTTTAGTGTTTTGATGAACACTGTAGTTTTGATATACAGAACCATGAGAAAACAACCCCAACCCTGTGAAATTCACAGACTGAGAGATCATTTCTAAATAACACTTACCCTATCTACCATAAAACCAGCTCAGATGAATGCACACACTGCTGACATTTCTGTCCTTCACTTCCTGCCACTTCAAAATTCAAACTTCATACCAAACATGTCTACTATTCTTTTTCTTCCGATGTTTAGTCATTACAGCCCTGAGAATCATCAGCCTTCCTACTGCTTACAGAGAACATCATGAAATTTATTTCCCCAAACCACATATACACCAAAGATTTAAAACATCCACCTCAGACACATCATTCTTCATGCAAGTGGTACTTCCTAACAGAAACAAATCGCACAACAGTTTACAGTAACATCTCCAAAACATCTCTTCACATAAAATCACTTACAAAAACTCTTGCTACCAACTCAGCAGCACTGTGTATCTACTGCTTCTTGGAAAAGCAGCACAGTTCAGTGTTGTTAATTCTCAATTACCTTCTTGCTCAAGTACAAGTCTCCTAACAGCTGACAAAGACTCCGTGCCACTTAGAAAATCTGATAGCTTGCATTCATTCAGAAGCAGGTTGGGGCCATAGTAACCACTCAAACTTTTTATATCATAAAATGGAACCCTTCAGTGTAGTAAAATTACGTTTAAGAAGGAAAAAGACTGAAATCTATGATTTCTTATCTGGCTTTCCTGTAATAAGAATGTAATTTGATAATTTGAAGGACTCTGAGAAAAGACTGTGTAAATAACCAGTGCACTTCTATTAAATTTATGACAATGAATTTGCATAGAAAATTGTGGAGAAATATTTGGATATTATGTTATAGCCACATTAAGTACCCCTTAACTTCATCTAGCAGTGCGATAGAAATGCAACAGAGAAACAAATTCTCACCCATGGGTAATTACAATCTCCCTGCTTAAATTCCTAATCACTTCTTTTCCTACAGTAATATTCACTTTTCTGTTTTTCTCAGACATGAGTGACTGCTTCTGGTTGCAGCCTCATGTTGTAAACATCTGTGTGAAGAGAAGATGAAAGCTCAGTAAGCAAGACTCGCTTTGAATAAGGAACTTGAGTTACATATCAATACCACCATCATAAAATCATCAGAAGCTGGGCTGTTTCGGTGGAGGGATCTGACCTTGCAGACTCCTCATTTCACTATCTATAAAGTTTATTTTCTTCCTCTCCTCCCCACCCCCAAATAAATACCAGGAGAAAACAAGTGTTACTTTCACAGTCAAAATCTCCAGACCAAGCATTCCTTCAGGGCTTTTACTCCTTAATGCTCAGTTCAAACTTTTGTACAAACTCTCTTTATCAATATTCTCTTTTCTTCCTTGCTGAAACAAGAGTGACCATCACAGAAGTCTACCAAAGGGAGTAAGAAATCAAACATATAGAGCACGATGTCTCTAAATATGTCATTGATATACATAAATGCAAGTGCTGACTGCTGCCGAAGGCCACAGAAGAAATATTAAGCCAAACAAGATCAGAAAAAGGAAGGCCTTCTTTGTTCTGATTATCTAACCCATCAGACTTTTATTTAAAGGGGAAAAACACCACATAGGGTCTTGCCTTAGCATCTCAAGAAAAGCAGTGAGAAATTATTAAACAGCTACAACACACAAGCAGGAGGGAAGATGGGGAACACAAAATTTGCTGGTTTCTCCCTGAGGATAAGCCACCAGCACCCTTGAACCAAGACGAATACGAGGGATCTGCTTCCAGGAAGAAGCCTTTAACAATGCCAGGAAAAACACAGGGATGGGATTCGCATTCACAAGGACTCTTGGCCTACTGATCCCACAGGCAGGGGGAACGCCAGCTGTCCACCTACTCCATCTCTAAGCTAGAGCAGAATGACACCATCCTTCCCTCTTGTCCTCCCTGCCAGTTCCCACAGCTTTCCCTGGTTATTCAGGCTGTGCACGGGGGACAGGATTTAAATTACTACAAAACACTTTCCTAATTTAAATTTCACTCCTGTTACCAGACCTATTGGATACCACTGACCTCAGGAGGGAACGTCAGTGAGGTGAAAGATTCAAGGGCTTTGAACTAATAATCTGAATTGCTCCAGCAATTGCTTCTGTCATTGCTAAAATGAAAACACCTAGAATAAAGTGCAGGAGCAAATGTAAGGTGGTAGTAAACAACGAAGAAAAAGAAAAGAACCACCACACTGAGAGAATACCCAGCTATAATTGCAAAGGGGATTTTAGTAAGAAAAATAATTGCCGACAATGGAGAAAATATTTCATCACAATACTAAATTAACAAAGTTGGAAAACATTACTAGTAATATTGCCTGGCTGCTACACAGCCTCTTTCATCCACAGGCGTCAAGACTCCTGACAGGTTGGTAAGATTCACTATTCCTATTTTAAATTCCTTCAAAAGAAAGCATAAACAGGTGAAGTGATTTGCATCAGGCTGTCCGGATCGCTCAAGCACTAGGCCTGAATCCTACCCAGGTGGAAATATCACCTCTTCAAAGTTTCTACACACTGCCACTTGTGTTTGTTGAGATGGGAATTTCTCTGTGAATAGAGCCTTCAATGAGAAGTTCTCTCCACACTGCAGCCCTTCTCCTGCAACCAGATCTACTCATACAGAGCCCAAAGCTCAGGAACCACTTCTCTGAAACCAGTGAGATTTCACAAAGGGAAAGGCTCCTCCATGACAGATCAAGCAGAACTGGGACCGATTACAGATTAAGATATTGCTTCCTTCCACATCTTTCCTTAATTTTTAGTCTGCTGAGGAGAGGCAAAAAAAGCCCACACCTCCTTCTCCCCAGATAAAACAAAACCAAAAATCCCCCAACATAACCAGCTATGACAACCTTTCAAGTCCTAGAGCTATCACTTCAATAAGCCCCTTTCATTGACAAATTCATCTGGCTCACTCAAAAAGGCACAGCGTGTGTGAACTAAAGGAGGGGAAATACACACACAGTACATTTCATAACTTAAAAAGAACTCACAGAGATGAGGAGTGATAATAGAAATGTGACTTCAGCTAGGAAAAATTAAAGAAAGTAAGTTCCGCTTTCATAACAAATTGCAAAGAGAACTCAATTCTATCAGCAATAACACAGAAAATGGTCCTTCACTTACCAATAAAGAAAAATTGTTCTGCTAATTAAAGTTCAACACAAAAACCAGCATAACTCAGCTTTCACCACTCACAATTTCTGCGCTGTCAAAGCTAAGCCAACCAAAGTCTGATTCATCTAAGAGTGAACCCCTCAGTTTGTATCCCGAGGAGTGGGGGAAATGTGACGGTCACTTGTACACATCCCCCTCATCTCAGTTTCAACTGCATGTTCAAAATCAGCTCCTGGCTGCACAGGACCAGCGAGCTGCCCGATGTCCCCAGACTGTCCCCATCAAACAAGCTTTGCCCCATAAAAATAACAAACCCACCGGCGGTTTCATTCACAAGCTGCTATAACCCAAACGTGCTGAAACAACTGAGTTTAAAACACATTGTTTTAAAACCTGTCTGTTCTACCGATCAGTCTTGGAAAATAATGCGCACTTACCCAGTACCACTTCTTTTAACTCAGAGGTTTTTTCATCTCTACAAAGGATTATGTCTTTTTAAAATATAAATAAAGGGGGAGGGAACTATGCTATCCTTCCCCTTGTTTCAATTATATTATTTATTAAGAACAACAACATTAGAAGACCCCAACAATTCAAACCATCCCAACAAAACAATCCATGAAGCACTCAATTTGTCAATGGGGATATTCATTCTCAGGAGATTTGTGTGTCTTACAACTGAATTCCTTTATTTCTTCAACGAAAAGTGAAATATACTCTGTTACTTTAAAACTCCATCTCAAGCTCGCTGTATCTCCGATAATGCAAAAATCTGGTTGCCTTGTCACCTCTCACTCGTTTTGTCATTCGCTGGAAAGCAACCTTGCAACTGCCTCCCTGCAGTCAGCTCTTCATTTCCATCAATGATGTGTTTAATCACGTTACTATAATCAAACAACAGTTTGACCAACAATGTACTGAAGCCAAACAACTTCACTCATTCGGAAACTGATATAAAAGGACATGACCCACCCTAGGAGGAGTAACATATATCCTTTCCCTACTTGCAGATTTGCCCTATATATACATGTATACAGGCCCTGTTGGGAGGGCTGTATGGCAACCTGCAGTGGGAACTCCCCTATTTTCAGTTTCAGGACAGTTGCATCATGTGGAAGGTGCTCTCGGGCTCTGTGTTAGACCTCCCAACTTGTAGCCAGTCGGCCCTGACAAAGCCTCCTGCAGAAAACAAAAATGAAAGCTCCTCTGCCAAGCCTTCAGTCGCTCCGAGGGTTGATTTTACAGCAGCTGTTAAATTCTCTCAATTTGTTTTTTTTCCATCCTTCAACAAACCCTACCTAAAAACGTTTCCCTACTCGTATTTTATGGTTGTGATTTCCTGGCTGTCGCCAGCCGTTCCCTCCCGCCCCGCCCGGCACAAAAACAAAGCTGACTCCCACCCCCTGCCTCCCGCCACCCTCCTCCCTGACGGAGCACCCCCGGAGCCCGGGCAAGCCGGGCTTCTGAGAGGCATCCCCCGCTCTCCACACCGGCCCCTCCGCCTGCCCCCGCCGCACCGGGCTTAGGGCCGCGCCGACCCGCCCGCCGGCAGCCGCGGGCCCACGGCAGAGCGCGGCAGCCCCCGGCGCTCCGGTAGAGCCCGCCCGTAAACAGCCCCGGAGCGGCTGCCGCTGCAGGCCCCTCCGCAGACACAGGGCCCTCTCCAGCCGGCACCGCTCAGCCCCCGGCCCGGCCGGCACTCCTCGCTCGGCCGCTCGGTCGAGCTGCGGGTCACCGAAGGTCCCCTGAGGCCTCCCCGGAGCCCCCCGCCAGCCGAGCCCGGCCGGTCTCGGCCCCCGCGGGGGGTGAACGGGGAAGTCCTGACTTACCTGTCATTACTTTCTACGCCATCTTGGATCCACTTGTCAACGTCCCCACAAAGCATTGTGGGAAAGCCCTCCCCCGCCCTGCGCCCGGCCTGGCCCGGCCCGGCCCGGCCCGGCGGCCAGCGGGGCAAGGCGGAGAGCGGCGGGGCTCGGCGCTGCGACCGGGACCGGGGACACAGCCGGGGTCGGAACCGGGACCGGGGGCAGGACCCGGACCCGGGGCTCTGTTCGCGGCACGATGGGGCAGGCGGCGGCTGGAGGAGGGCAGCCGCGGACCCCGGCCCACGGGGCTTCCCCTCAGGCAGCGGCGTGAGGAGCCCGTGCCGCGCCGCGGGGGCTGGGAACCGGCAACACCGGGGTGGGTTTTTTATTCGTTGTTTTCTTTCTCTTTATTTTCCTCGCCCCCTCCCCTTCCTTGGGAATCGCGTCGCTGCCTCTGCACGCACGCAGCAGCCCCTCAGCGCGGGGCAGAGCTGCGCACACGCGTAGAGTCCCGCCGGTAAGCTGTGAGACAGGGTCCCGCTGTGCTGAAACGCGTGTTTGTAGCGGGTTTTGTACTGTTCTGATGGGTTTGGGCGTAGTTTGTCTTCGGGGTTTTGGTTGATTGATTGGTTGGTAGTTGGTTGGTTGCTTAGTGTCTGCCCTTACAGACACTCGCAGCCCCCCGGGCCCACAGGCGGAGGCTGCAGCCAGGCGATGGAGCAGTGCCTGTTGTACATGGTGTTCTGCAGACCCACCTGCTCCTGCCCAAGGACTGATGGTAACGTGGGTCTGGCTGCGCAGGAGTTCCAGAAACTGCTTTGCATAACAGTTGTATTTTCACAGGGTAATCTTCCCTGTTAGCTGTGCGCTCCAGGGGTTTGGCAATCGATTGTTCGTACCTACACGGTTGTGCAGACTGGCTTCTCCAAGGCAAGGCTGTTGGGGATGGTGCCTCTCGCTCTGCAGAGGCCATCGCGCTTCAGGGCAAAGCGGGTGAGGAATCTGGGGGGAAACGGCCTACTTCAGGCTCTTAATAAAGGTTATCAACAGACCAGGATTGCGATGTCTTTAAAAACACTTTTCCTTCTACTTTAATTAAAATAATTATAAGATCCAGATCATTTTAGTATTGGATTTTCCTAAATACATTTATATTTAAATTTACATGTTACGCCTCCCAGCTCTTTGAAGAATAACCACCAGCCAAACCTCTGATGCACTGCCACTGCAAGAAGATACTTGTGCCCGAGATTATTTTCAATATTCATCAGTAATGCATTTATAGAGAGCTCCTTGCAAAAAAAAAATGTAAATGCAGAAGGAAATAAATGTAAAGAAATCCTTTGCATTTGCAGCGCAGACTTAAATCAGTCCACTTCTAATTCGACTTTATAAATACAGTTGGGAGTGTAGTTCACTGTTCCACTGCCCTGCCTGAGGCCCTGCTGGATGGGAGTGTGGTTGATCCCCGTCTCAACCCAGGAGACTCCATTGCAGGAGGACAGAAGCGTTTCTGCAGCCATCAGCCTCCCTGCTGGTCCGTGGGAGCCCAAAGGACATGATCCAACATGATCTAGAGCTGCTTCCATGAGCACTGTGCAAGGACCAGGAAGTTACAGTGAATCAGCTAAAGGTGAAACCATGTTTAGGATGTAACTAACTGTGTGTCTCCTTCAGTCCAGGTTGCTGGAGTGGAATTAGTTCTGTGATTTTGGAGGTTGGATGTTTGGTTCCTAGTGAGCTTCTGTATTACTGGTGACATTTTTCTGTTACAAAATGAAATGAAGGTTTTCCTTAATTTTCTTTTTTAAAGCAGTGGAAAATAGGATGAGTTTTATGTGTGCATGTATCTAAAAATACACATACATCCTCTGGAGTTCTGTTTGGGGTGAGGCACAAATTTGCTGGGTTTATTTTTGATGTGAGCTCTCATTAACTTTTAAATCCATTTGTTCTGACAGCATTTCTTTATGCTGCACTAGGAAAAAATGGTGTAGCTGGTGACCAAGTTATACAAGGAAGGATTTGTTCAATGACAGACACCATTTTCATTGCTGCCTGTCTCTGTTGTGTCAAAAAGCCTAGACTGAAAGTACTGAAAGGCAAAGCCTGCTGTCAAAGGAGGGCAGAAACAGCCCAGAAAGGAGCAGGGGAAAGACCACAGCAGCAGGGGAATCCCCCGACTCCAAAAAAGTGCTGTGTATAAAACACAGTATTATGGAGTCTCTGCCCTTCCACCCACTGCTTTTTATGATGTTACTTAAACTAAACCTCTTAGCCTCCATATGAAGTAGGTTTTACTTTATTTTGTAGACTGGTTAACTGTATTGCATAAACCCCAAGTGGACATGCCAGAGGCTAGAGAGCCAGCCACTCTAGCTGGGATTGGCTGGCAAGCACTACTTTGTTCAAGTACTGCTACTGAGCCTGCAAGATGGGAGTAACTGCTTTGTTTGCTTCAAGCTCTTTCATAGTCTTTTTGTACCAGACAGAAAGAGGAAGAATGTTGGTCCAAAACAAATTTGGGCTCCAAGCACTCATTAACTTTGGAAATTCTGCTTAAAGTTCAAATCATACAGCAACTGGCCTAAGCGATGAGATCCCAAAACCAAAGAGCCGTAATGCAATGAAAATTTGGTTTTAGGGATCCTTCTATTAGAACATCACAGAGGGCAGAGTATGCCGCTAGCAATGGGTCATACACCACATAGGAAGAAAAAGACTCCTTGTGGCTTTTATTGACATGTTTCAATATAGTATTAAAGGATAATTTAAGGAAATAAGATTGTAATATTAGCTGCTACTGTGGGGGGAACTCCATGAGATGTCTCTTTCTCTCTCACTGAATTGTATTACCCGGTGGAAACTGTGATTTGGGCTTCCAACTGCAATCAGACACATCATTCACAACTCTACAGGCTGAGATGACAAGCTAGGCCTTCACTCAGCACTGGGCTAGACACAGAAACATGTGTTATGTGCTGACTGCACTTCCAGAACTGTTCAGGCTTTCTAAATTCCTGGAATCCCCGTGTGCTGTCCTCACTAATGGGATTTCATGACAAGAAGAGCTCGCAGCACTAGGCTTCTGACCAAGACCAAATCACATGGAGTCTGGGAGCAGAAGAAAAGCAACAGTATGTTGCAAATATAAGAAATGCCCAAGGCATAATGGGGAAGCATGATAGGAACAAAACAATTAATCTCTGCTCATCATCATGAGACTTGACAGGACTCAGATCCCCAATAGCCAAACAATGATATTTCTAGGGACTCGTTATAATGGCAAGATTAAAACAGAACAACAAAACCAACACACACATACACACACACCCCAGCGACGGCAGCAACACCAAATTCAATCCCACTTCTACATTTTTTAGGATTTCAAAACCTTTCAGATCTGAAAACTGCAATTTCCTGCTGAAAAAAAAACATTTAGAAAGCCCCACCTCCCAGTGACCAAAACTGCAAGGAAGTCCTGTACAGAAGGCACTAACACATCCAGTCTCCCTACCCCTAAGCTGGGATTCTGTAAGTGCCTGTTCACAGGGCTTCTCCCTATTCTGTGAAGCTAGGAGCCATTCCCAGGTCCTTGGAGAATGTAGGCTCCTTGCCAGAAAAACGGGAGTTTGAAAACCTGGGGCCACTTGGGGCTGCTAGGCTCCCTGCCACGAAGCTCAGATCTGAGTAGAGCTCTGCGAGGTGTGGCACAGATCCTGGAAGAGTTGGGAACTCTGAAACCCTCACTTGCTTCGGGGCTAATGGAGAGCTGGTAGCCAAAAAGCCCTAGAGTCTTGGCTCAGGCGTGAGCTGCGCACTTGGGATCACAGCAAGAGCTTAGTTTCTACATTTTCAAAACAAAACTATTACTGCAGACTTACACTGCTGCTTTGTTTCTTTCTCCTCAGCCTTCTGCCTTCCCAGGAAATTGAGAACATAATTTTTCATTCTGTGATAAAGTTCACTCCTGTTTCGGGAACTGGTGTTTCTTGAATTCCAATACAGAAAACTCAGTTTTCAATCAGCTCCGCTCATGATAGCTAACTTCAGAATACAGAAAAAAACATTACAATTGACATGTAAAAGTAGTAAGCTTATAATAGAACACATTGAGCAGGGAATTGCCTCCCTGACCCTGCAGCCTAACATCCCAGCAGGCATCCCGAGCAGTTTTCACCTCTGAGAAACAGAACAACAGGAGGCCTTTCTCAACAGAAGTTCCAGGCTGATTGCGGTACTAGAAGCAATGTTTTTATTGTCTTTGCACACTGGAGTTTATAAGTTTTTGAACTCCTTCAGAAGCAGCAATCATGGGAAATGAACAGAAGTGATGTGACTTACCCTCTGCTGCAAACAAGCCAGTGCCAGACCTGAGGTTAGATAGCAACAGTAATTCTTAGTCTTACTAAACAATAAAGCAAACTGTTTTTCCAAGCAACCATGAATGCCTGATTATTAAGCTGAAGAGTAGCAAGTTGTGATTTTCCAACATGAAAATTCCCCTGGAATTCCTCCAGAGTCCTCTAATGAACAAATGATCTCAGCTTTAATCTTATTTTGCAATTATCCAAGGATAACATTTCTCCAACGTGGACTCTTTTAAACACATACATTTTCTAGAACAAGTAATATTCAAACTAATTCATTCTTCCTTTGATCCACAAAAGGAGAGTGTTGAGACGCAAACAGCAACAAGGGGATATTGGGAGTATATTGAGGAGATAGGAACTACAAAGTTCAGATTAATGCAATGGTTTGATCCCACATTGTCAAGATCAAAGATCTTCAGTCTCAATGCTTTTTTAAGAAGCCAGCATGCCTTTGACCTTTAAATTGCTCCTGGAGGAGTTGTATCTGACATACATCTGCATTCTTGAGATGAACTAGCACCAGAAGTTTACAGCTCATCTTCTTTCCTAGCAAGCTGATTGTGGCAACCTTTTCCACACTAAAGATACACTCCTTTTGCTTGCATTAACAGTAGTCTGCCAGAAAAAGAAAACCAATGAAAAAACCCCAACCCCCAAACTCCATGCTAAATAAATTACTGGATTCTTTTCAACTCCCTTGGGCTTACTGTACAGCTTAATCATTCTACACTGTTTTTAAACTCCTCTTCTAACTTTGTGATGTGTGGGGAGGGAAACCCCAAGGGATTCTTGCTTCTGGCACCAAGTACTAGGTACACACCAGGTCTGTCTCACTCTTGAGGACAGTTAGGTAGGGAGTTTGCCTTGGGCAGTATGTTGTCAAGGCAAGACATCCAAGTCAAACCAAGTGAACTCTGTGAGGACAAAAACCTGTTTCAGATCAGAAGGCAAAAAGGTTCATCACTGTGGATCTTTGGTATGAATACAGGCCCTGAAAGTGAATCTTCATAATCCTTCTAAACTGAATTTTAAGGAGATACCTGGACCGTTGAAAGGTAAGAGTGTTTCCCAGTTCCTCCCAATCCTGACAGCAAAAGGTATTTGTGAGGCGAGAAACCATCTCCGCTCTCCTACAAGCTTGTGCTCTAAATGCAGACAAAGGCAGCAGAAAGGGATATAGCTAGGCCAGAGAGATTCAGATCCACAAGAACCCCAGTAAGTAGGGTCAGGAAACCACTGAACTATTCCACTCTAGGATAAAAAGGGAAAAGAGAGTTGGCTGGGGAAACAGGTCCAGTATCTCTCATCTGGCAGAAGTGTCAGAGCCATAAGCTTAAATACTTGGGGTTGAAGATTCTGGTCCAGACTTGCAACAGAAGAAAAAGGTTTATGATAAGAACAGGGAGATGCAAATTCTCACTTCCCCTGATGATCCACTGCTCCCCTTTCTGATCCCACTAGCCTCTGCTTCCAGATTATTTTCCAGTTGAGAAGATCAAAACTGAAGTTAATGTGCTCATCACCCCAGCAACAGCCAGTTTTGCTCATGCTAAGTCTAACCTTGCACAGACCAGTACATCCCCTTCTTGGACATGGTTGTGACATGATTTTGCACAGCTCATGCAGTTGGGAACATAGTACAGTTTAGGAAGTTAGATGCATCCTAGGCACTGGAAACAGTCTGCTTTCTCCCTTCCCTCACCGATAGTTCAGCTGCTTTTTCTTGTCACTTAAATGCAGTGAGCTGGATTGGTATGGCTTGATAAGGTTACAATCCTCCCAGAAGACATTCCCAAGTTTCCCTTAAACTGTGTCGACATTTCAAATTGAAATCACTGCTTAGAAGCTTCCATCTTTTCCTGTCCCTCCACAAACCTTCCTCACTCAAAATCACTGTCTGAAGTTCCCTGGTTTCCTATGTATTCATATGGTAATTACCTGTGCTAAGAGTGGTGGTGTCAATGAAGTTCAGTGTGCTTTAAAAGAGGATTTGTAAACACCTCAGTACATCATTTACAATTACAGTCTCTGCCTAATTGATTATGAATAGTTATAGCTAGCATCATTACAAACCAGAGCAAACTCAGTAAGTCCCATTGATTCCTACCATACATTCATGCTATGATTTTACTTCCTTAAAAAGCCAGAACACACACAAGGGGAAAAGTCTACAGCTTCTCTCCATTACAAGTAGGTTTAGAGCAAATAATAGAACATTAGCTTCTCCAAATGTAACACATTCAATGATGAGAAGCAGCAGCTCTGAAGTACTACCTTAGCTAACTGCATAATTGCTTTTGTATCCATAATAAACTCTTACCAAAGAAACTGAAAATCAGTGCCTTGCACCAAGCAAAGTTCAGGTAGATTTCTCATTCAGTTTAGAATCAGAAGTCTATCTGTAGTCTCAAATCACAAAAAATAGCACTATTCTTAAGCATGAACATCCAGAATTTTGCTCAAAAAGTATCCTGACATAACATTAAAATATTTTAAGTTACCTCAATGCATGCTATTGCAAAACCCTAGGATTTTATTATATACAGTGTATCTTCTCAATCTCAGCCTCACAAATAGTCCTGTAATGAAATAACCACAGAATTATGTGTTAGAGAGATACAGGTATACATGAAAAAGAAATCACAAGACTGCTATTATACAGGCAATACAGTTTTATTATGCTCTTCCACCAATTGTAGCAAAAACATTAAACAACTGAAAGAATAATCAAGGGAACTTAATTGTCAACAGGAATTTCAGATTTATGTTCTAAATTTTAGACCAGGAAGGCTTGACAAGGAGAAAACAAACCATACACACATTGGAATAATAGTCTCTATTATGAAGATTTTATACCTTCTTCAAAAACACTACTGAAGCACCTTACTGCAGGTTATGTATCATCTCCTCTTTGGCAATGAGATGCGTGGTTTTGTTAACTAGGGCCATGAGTGAGTTGAGCTTGTGAGACCAGTCATTGAGTATATTGTTTGGGTCCTTTGGCCTCTGAAAATTGATAATTCCTGCCAGCCTGTCTACCTTAGCAAAGATGGTTTTATTAACTACCAGGTTAGACAGGAACTCCTCCGATTCCTGTAAAGACAAACAACACTAAGTCAGGAAAAAAGCTTTTTTATCTATAAAACATCAGAATTCCTCCCCAGCATTAAAGCAGAGAACAAGATTTTCTTTACACTCAACAGAAATACAGCTATAGTAATATTGTACTTAAAAGCCCACGCAATTAAAACTACACACGTTGGCACTGCAAGGTAATTACCTTTCATGGAATTAGAAGTTTAATATCCTACACCAACAGACTTTTACACTTTGGAACACCTGGCTACACGGGTATCAGATCAAGCCGTCTGACAAGAGGGGCATAGGAAAATCTGTGAATTACTGACTACTGTCAAACCAGGTTTATTTGTGGAAAAGAGCAGATTTAATTAGAAGGAAGTAAGGCAAAGCTTTTCACTTGCACTTGAAATACCAATATGCCATGATGTATGAACCCCTTTGGAAAGCTCTTGAAAACACAAAGGGGGATGACAGAAAAACTACTCCTGCCCATGTCCCCAAAGTACAACCATCTATGAACAGGGACATTTAAAGGTGAGAAACCAAAACCCTGTTATATCTTCAGTCAGTTTTAATTACCCATTGACAAAAACCTTTTAACACTGAAACACAAGACACAAAGGTCCAGCATTTAGATGAGATGTTGAATATAAGTGAATTTTTAAGAGCAGCTTTTGCCGTATGGGCACGTGCATCATGAAACCACGTTCTGCCTGGATTAAAAAAAAACATCAGTTTTCTAACTCCCCAAAAGGCATGAAAATACACTCAGGTCTTCAGGTTGACTAGCAAAGCAACAAATAACTGGATTAATATTATTACCGACTTTTACACTCCTCATAAAAAGAACCCAGTGAACTGAAGTTCAGTTAATGCTCCCTATCTATTAGTATAGCACACTTCATTCTCCCTGTAAGACCTGAAAAGCACTGGTAACACAAACGAGGGATGAAGGACAGGCTGAGGACAAAGCCAGGAGAGCTGCAAGAATAATACAAAGACAGGCATATAGAGATACAGTAACAGCTACTTATATCCATAGCCACAAGTGTAAACCCTGAGAATTGTGAACCAAGCACTGTACTTCTACAATGCTACATCTTCCTGCATTGTCTGTAAAACAATGCCATGATGATCCATGGCATCACTTACACAGCTTTCCAAGCAAAAAAACAGAACTCAAAGAGAACATGACTTTGCCTATATTTTTGCCACAAACACATGTACACATATGCTTCCAAACCCTTTATGAAAGAAGGATAAGGAAAGTAACACTTACATCAACAGACAGATCCAGGAGCTGTGCCATTCTCTTCATTGTAATTCTGGTGTAATATTTAGCCATTATTCTAATATTCTGGAATAAAAGTTTTCAGAGCAGAGAGTTATGTGCAAAAAATAACTGAAGCAGACTGCAAAAATATAAGAGCCAATGTTAAAAGCAGATTAGGAGCTGTGTAAGGTTCAGAAGGTACATGAGGTAATTATGAACCTGAGTTCCTTTGTTTGTAAAAGGCAGAAAAGTCTCTACGTGACAAATTAGTAGGTAATCTAATCAACTAATTACAAATTCAATACAAAACAAGACTTTCAAGTTTCTGCTCCATTGAAACGTGAATGCTAAATCTCACAATTTGAGTGCAGTATAATCTTTGTGTTCTGGCAACTGTGCCAAATACCTATCAATAATAAAGACAGATGAGCAAATGTTGAAAATGGAACACAATGGACAAGGCAACTATCTGCTGCTTTACTACATGCTGCTTTTGTTTCTCTTTGTAACTGAAATACGGCAAGTGAAAAGCATTTTTAGTTGAGGCGCTGAATACATAGCTAGAGCTTAAAAACTGCCAGACTTACATGTTCCACAACTCTGTTCTTTAAATCTTTCCATCTCTTTTCACCTTCCTCTGTGCAGCCAAAAACATCTGTTGCAGGACTGTCGAGGGATCCTTCTCTCAATTCTTTCCCATATTCTTCAACTAGGGCAGTCCATCGCATCAATTCCATGGTGGTAAATAGTTTTAGGAGGTCTCTAAATGATTTAGTAAAGTTGGCTTACAATCCTGTATTAATAAACCTCATTTCATACTTAAATAGATCAAAGCAGTACTTTAATATGCTTTCATTTTATTTCTATTAGTATTTACTGTTCTTCATGAATGTAATACTTCACGCTATGGGGGCAGCTCAAGTCAGACTGTGTTGCTAATAAAGATCTTTCTCTCATTAAAGGACATTTACTTTAATGTAGAACTTGCACAATCATGAATATTGCATTATTTTTCATACAGCATTAAATTCCCAGATGCTGACAGCAGACTCAGCACGGTTTCCACTTGCACAGCCAGCTTGAGAGAAACATTCTTTGTTTTAACTAAGAACTGTGTTAGAAAGAATACTTACTTATACTTGGGGATTTCTTCTAGCTTTTTGTCACTACTAATTCTGTGCACCAAATCGGACTGTTCGTTGTCATAGGGTGAAAGAATTACATAAAGAACAACGCTCTTCAGTGCCTGTTTAAGAGGAAAGAGTGTGGGTTTTCTCCCATAATTAAACAAAGGAATTGAAAACACTTCCCACAGACCTCAAGAGTTTAACATGTAAAAGGCTTAAGCCCAGTGTATTAAGTTTAGGTGAAACTGATGTTATCTTGCGGTCAATTAGAGCTGTTTTCAACTAATCAATTTGTTAACACAGCCATTAAAATAACCCCAAGAACAACAGACTGATGAGCTACTTCAACTGCTGTAAATTGATCTGGTATAGAAATGGGTATTTGCCACATGAAAATACAGACATTTTGTATGTAATGCTTCTTTACCTGCTGCCACTTCTCGCTTTCAGCCTGGATACAGGGAGTATCATAAATGGCTCTGTAGTGCTTGCAGATAGAGAGGTAGGAGCCTTCATGTTGATCCAGCTGGATCATTAAGTTGTAATATTTCAGCTTTAGTTTCTGAAACAGTGGCAAACAGCAAAATTAATACAGCTCCATGGATTATATTGGATCACAGAAAACAAAGGGATTCAAATACACTTGGACCTGAAGACAGTCATAGCAGATTAAAACTGGGAAGGGCAGAGGGAGAGGAAAATGTCCTCCAGTGACTTACTTCTGTGTTTTCTTCTTGGAAGAATTTTGTGTTAATTTTTTTGCTGATAATTTGAGTCCGAATATAGTCTTTTACAGCTAGACAGAGTCTCATCTGCTCCAAGATAAATTCTACACGTTCTTTCTTTTCCATTGAACCATAGGTTTCCACCTAAAATGAAAATGTAACTACTTAACACTGTCAAAGTCAAATCAAATGAAGTCTTCATTGTGCAAGGAGAGTGGGAGTTTGTCAGGGTGGAGAGAGGGGAACAAAACAGAAAAAGCAAGTGAAAATGGAGAAAAGAATCAGAAGAATCCATTAACACTGAACTCAATGCACCACCTGGAGAACTGAAATCTGTTTTCCAAGTAGGAAATATTCTAAGTAACCCAACTATGAGACTAAGGAAACCAGCTAAAACTGAATTACACTTTGACTAATAACAGTTAATCTCATTCCAGGCATTTCTGCA